GGGGCGGGGCGGGCACAGATGTCACTGATCAATATGATGGCAGGCTGCTGCGGGGGGGCGCTACAGCCGGCCCGGCGCCGCCACCTATCTGATTTATCTTTTGTAGCGCTCCCAAGTTATACGTCGCCGTCTCGGGCCATATCTCCCCGGCGATGCCTATATACGTGTCGGTCGGGCGAGTGGAGCGGTCGGCGGGAGAGAGAGGGGAGAGGGGGTGGCAATCTTCGCAGAGTCATGCGTGTAAACTGCCAACTCTCGTATTACTTTCCGCAGACCGAGAGCAGGCGTGGCCCCGCGGTTAGGAACGACTAACAGTAAGGAGTCAGAACAATGTGACGAAGTATGATTTCGGTAAGGAAGACACAAATCGATACAGTTATTTTGTTTATGTTTGCTTTTTCCAGTTTTAGTCCTATGAGTGTACAATACTACCATATTTTTAGCGAACAAGCAACTTTTTTTATTTTGAAGCATTTCTACATTTTTGGAGCATTTTTGACAATTTCTAAGCTTAAAAGGCATCATATCTCAAAGTGCCACGCTTTTTATTGATGATTCTTAGTACAATTTTCACGAGGAATCCGAATCTGTAAACGCCATATTTCTAGCGAACAAGTAACTTTTTTATTTTGCCGTATTTTGGACAGTCCCTTAAAGACAGTCTCGAGGGGACTGTCTCTTTCTCAGCCGTGTGGGCTAATGTTTTTTTTACATTTTAAAGGGTTTTTTTCATATTTCGGCGTATTAAATGGGTCGTTTTGGTCTCAAAATATGGGGTACTGGGTACTTCGTTTTCTGGTGTTTTTAAAGTATTATTTGAATCGATTCGGACCAAAAAATATTTTTTGCGCACTTTTACACTGATACATAAAGTGTGCAACTGACACACACTTTAAGGTGTTTAACACCGTGTGGCACACTTCTATGTGTGCAACACGAGTTTGAATAGTTGGAAGTGTTCAACAGGTGTGTTGCACACTTTTAAATCTTCAACCTGACCGACGAGCACTATAGCTCAACGCTCAAGTTAAACACTAAAAAGTGTGCAACACACCTGTTGAACACTTCCAACTATTCAAAACTCATGTTGCACACATAGAAGTGTGCCACACGGTGTTAAACACCTTAAAGTGTGTGTCAGTTGCACACTTTATATATCAGTGTAGCCATTTTGAACCACTGTGGCGCCGGCAGCGCGCGGCTGTGCCAAAACCCGGCGCCACGCAAAGCGCCTTGCTGTTGCTATATATGGGAGACGGTAGGGGGGGGGGGGTCTTGGGAATTGTCTAAAAGTCCATCAAAAAATACACAGCAATTTACATAATAAGCATTTATTCATTGGTTGAAACGCTGAGCAGAATCAATTATGTCAAATTTGCACTGAATGTTTCACTACACAGAAATGATAAATCAATACACAGGTTGAATATCGTTGATGTGAATCCAAATCCAATCAGAAGCGTGATATTCTGGGCAGGGACACTGGCCTGTAGGGTGCGTGAAAACGCCAACGAATTTGGGATCCTCCTCACCCTTATTAAGTCCCTCAAGTTCTTTGTGGCAGTTCAGTTGACACGCGTTGCACTTCTCCTCGTACAGGTCCTCCTCATCCGAGTCCTCATCCGAGTCCTCATCGTCTTCGGATTTGGGGCAGCCCGTGGTGGAGTACTCTACCACAACGTGAAGCAAGGGGTTCCTCGACAGAAGCACACCGAGCTCCCTTCCGTGTAGAAATTCGTGAGAGCACATGTGACTGTGAGTGTAATTGTCAAGTATATGGATGCTCCGCAGGGACGGGGCGGTTAGTGGGCTAATGGCAGCAACCACCGGGGCTGGATCCACTACTCTGAGCACGAGGCGTCGCAGGGCCGGCAGCGAGGGCAGCCGGGTCGCCAGGTGAGGTACGAGAAGGGTCTGAGAGTACAAGCCCTCGACATCGACATCGATGGACAGCGTCTGCACTTGGGAGCGTCCGGTCGACGCGAGTTCACTAATCAGCTCCACGCCGAATTCACTGTCGTCAACCTTATCGTCGTCAGCTCCACGAGGTCGGTTAGGGAAGTGGAGGTGGAGGGAGCGGATCTGGAGCGCGCTGCGGAGGAGCTCCAAGACGCCGTGGACGTTGGCCTCGGTGTCACGCTGCACGGTGAGCTCCAGCTCCCTGAGCGACTCGCACGCCGCCACCCGCCCCAGCCCGGGCATCAGTGGGCAGCTCAGCTTGCGGAGGTTGGGCATGCCGGCGAGCAGGCGCGCCGTCGAGGTCGAGGCGAGGGTCGTGGACGCGGAGGACGAGAGGAACATATGGCGGTAGCCGATGTGAACCTCCTCCAAGGTCGCGGCGTGCCCGGCCAGCATGTAGTCGCAGAAGGGCTCTGGCGGCCGGGGGACCATCTCGCAGCGGAAAGTCCTCAAGGACGGCGTGATGGTGCCGCGCTGACCGGTCCCAGGCGGGATCCATGTCCTGTCGCCCAGGTTCCCGCACTTCCCCTCGATACTGACCATCTCCAGGCCGGGCGTTGAGGCCAGCGTCCCAAACAGTAAGTCCATGGCGTCTTTAGGCGGAATGAAGGAACGTGCCCTCAGGGTTAGCCTCACTTCCCGCAGCCGCCCGAGCGCCACCTGCTGGTTGACGATCTGGACGGCTTTCGCGACGTGCTTGGGCCCGAATTTCCGCACAGTGATCGCCAACACTCTGGCGGCACAAGACGTCGTCCGCAGGTCACCGTGGCGACACGCCGCCGATAGCAGAGGAACAGCGGTCCAGATCTCGCGCACGCACGGCGCCAGGCGGAGCTCCTGGCACAACCACGGCATGGGACCGTAGAGCTGGAGGGAGAGCGGGTCGCCAACGCCAATCCATCGACGCCGCCACACGTCGGGGTGCTGGGCCAGGCCAGCCAGACGCTTGCACACAAGGCGGCACGCCAAGAGGTCCTCCACATCCAGTCGCGACATGACCATGGCCAGCACGTCGTCCGGCAGCAGATCCATGAGCTGTGGGGACACAATAACAAACAGCTCTGTAACGAGGCTTGTATCAGGTGACTCACGCCGCGCACTTTCGTAGCAGTACATACTGAATGGCATGCACGGGTGCGGACGGGTTTGCCAATCCTCGCTGCCCACGGCTCCTTATGGCCCGCCCGCGTGCGATACAGTATATGACTACGAAAGTGCGCGGCGTGAATCAGCCAGCCGGTACGCACACTGTGACGATTTGCTCGAGATTGTTTAAACTAACTACCTACCTACGGTGGCTGGGTCTGGGTGGCTCTGACAAACAGGAGAGGCTCGATGTTTCGTCCTCAGAGCTGGGTATCCTTCCACTTCCACCTCGAGTGCCGCACTACGACTGCCGGCCCCCGCCCCCCGGCCCGGGGCCCGGGCGGGCCCGGGCTGAGAGCCCGGCGTGCTTAGCGGGGGATGGGAAGGATCAGGGGCCTTACCCCGTCGGCCCGGCCGGAGTCCCCAGGTAGCCCGGAATCGAAGCGACGAGAGGGTCACCCGCGCCCGCTAGCCGACGGGGGCGCGGGCGGGAAAACCGGAAAACGGAGGAACGATGAGTTGCCTCACGTGAGCGAGAGAAAGAGGGGGGTGGGGGGTGTAGATGTCCTCGTCCTTGAAGACAACTGCCTACAGGACTACAGGGTGGCGGCGTGCCCGGCCCTGCCCGGCCAGCATACATAGTTGCGGAAGGCGGAAGGCCACTGTCCAGTCCAGACAGGGTTGAATTGAATATGGAAGGTGAAGCTCTTCAGGGACGAGGGTGCCGCCGGTGGTGGGGGGTACGACTTTGCACGCAGCACTTGATTCCAACTTTAAACGTGAACTTCTCTAGACGCGGTCGGAAACCATCGCCCCCAACAGCAAGTCGGCGGTATTTTAGCCCGAGCAGAAGTAGTGTGTAGTGTAGACCCTGTAGACTGCCGGCCGAACGCCTCCTGCTGTTTGACAATCTGGACGACATCCGCAACCTCCTCGGGCCCGCACTCCTCCGTGGCGCACGAGGCTTGCCTGTCCACTTGACATGTGATCCCCAGTCTCAAATTTTAAATTTGAACCACAGCGCTCTGAAACGTCAATGTGCTTGTTTTCGCGCACTCAGAAATTACGAATTCAGCAAAATTTGAATGCTGGTTCCAGCATCATTTTCTGTCTTTTGTTGGGTGAGTTTATTTATTAGACAGTCCCTGTCTGTAACCGAAGGTGAAAGTATTCCGTTTTGATAAAAGTTATTGCCGTTGCCAATATTGGTGATTCACGTTCCAGTTTTGATTTTCAGTCTTGCTTTGATACCTTATAGAATTTAAACATACAAGCCTTAGCGACTGTATATTTTGAATTTGCCTTTGGAGCTGGACTGTCTCGTTACCGGCCGGCAGGCCAGTTTTTTTTTCCCACCATTTTCATCACTTTCGTTTAGCATTGCTGATCGGTACTTTTTTCAAACGACACTAAAGGAGTAAAAGTGCACGACGGAACACTTTCCAAAGATGGATGGATGGATGGATAGATAGATAGATAGATAGATAGATAGATAGATAGATAGATAGATAGATAGATAGATAGATAGATAGATAGATAGATAGATA